AACGATAAGGGGAAATTCAAAGTGGAGATTGATAAATCGCTATACATGAAGCTAGAGGCAGGCAATAGATAATTTACAGAGGGATATTGCCACTGCAGTTATCAGGAAGAAAAATAGGTGTCTGAATTCAAGAGACCTTAAAACTCACATGAGGACAAGGCTGTAATAACTCAATGTTTTTCAGTTTTAAGGTCAACATGTTCATTCTTGAATTTGACAAGGTTTTTCAGGGAAAAACATTGAATTCTGGAGCTCCAGTAACGAAAGTTTTAATTCTTCCTATCACTTAATTAGCTTAGTGCCCTTGGAAATTTATTTAAACTATTGGTACTTCTAGATTCTCATTTAAAAAAATGAAGATTAAAATTGCTCCTTCCTCATAGGGTTATAAATGGAGATGAGGAGAAGTAATCAAGAGGTTAGTACAGTAATTGATTATGCTAAATCTGCAAAAGTGAATAATCATCACTTATAAACTAGAGATAACAAAAGTTTCATTGAAAGCCTTAGGAAGATTGAGGATATGCAATGTACCAAGGACACAGCCATGCACTAACCATAACTAAGTCACAGTTAGCTACTATTTCTTTGACATGGCTTGCCAAATATAATCCTCCAACTTTTTATAGCAACTAACAGTAACGGAGAAAGAGCCAGGCTCTCCATCTCCTGAACCCCATCGTTGATCATGCCAACCTCTGGGGTCTTTCTAAAGATGGAGCAGATTTTTTCATGATGATAGTAGATTCCAGAAAAAAGATGAAGTCCAAAGCAAACATAGTCTCATTCAGCCCTGTTATATTTGGGGGCCTATAGCTGTCGTGAATCCTCCTCATCTCTATCTGCTCTTTTCTATACAGACGTCACTGTTGTGTAAGAACTACCCCTGATTCCTAAGCCAGTGCTCTTGGTAATAGCCAGCAGCAGCTCTCGACCCTGATAGTAGGACCAGAGCCTAACTTTCACTGTGTGCTCCAGCTATTACACAAAGCTCTTTCCGTGAGCTATTTATTATTGATTCACACCAGCAGCTTCAGGACATGGGTACCAACATTCTCTGAATTTTTCCAAGAGTGGAACTGATAAAGTATACCTGATGTTGCACCACAAGATACAGACTGTTTCAGACTTCAGTGCCTTATAAGGGTGTACTCCACCCTCACCCTAAACTTCTGGAGTTAGAAGAACTCTAGGTTGGGAATAGTTTCTTTATTTGGTCCATTCCTTTCTGGGTTCCAGAGATCAGTGTTCAGACATCAGACACCACTCTCATATGAAACCCTTTTACCTGGACTTCCCCCACCCACAATCACCGTGAACTTTGCCTTTAGAAGCTTAGGTATGATCTTTCCTTTACCCATAGTGATTGGGATGCCGTGATGAAATATTTCAAAGGGCATCTTTTTCCATCAAGTGTTCTGAGACCTCAGTAGAGCCCCCTCCCCCTCAGTATGGGAATATGTGACCTTTGACTTTGGAAAGTTTTTGACATATGTTTCTTTGACAGTTTTCTCCTTTACATAAACTGCTGTTAAAATAGTCACATCTAGGGTCTCATGCAAGCTAAGCAACCGCTTTACCATGGGATTATACTTTCAGTTCCTGTTACTATCTCGGACTTCTTGGGTTGATTTTTCACTTTTGTAATTTGTTTGTGTTTCTTCCTGTGTGTGTGTGTGTGTGTGTGTGTGTGTGAAGGGGCTGCAACCTCTACTTTTCACAGGGAAATGACCTGCCAGAGGCAAGAAAGAAACTGGGGTCCGTGTAGCTTAGCTTGTGCTTGTTCAAACTTCTAGAGCCCAACACCAACCAGGCCATGTTATTTTAGACACGTTGAAGTACAGTATAATTTCAGGAAAAGTTCCTTGGTAACAATTATCCCAGTCCCATGTGCACAATAAAGCTTAAGGTATGGGCACATCAAACTCCTTTACAAAGTACATGTGGCCTCTCTTCTAAGAATGTGTTCCATGGACCTAGAAAGAAAGCTAAACTAAAGGTCTAGGGAGGGAGAGTCCGGGATAATAGTCTGTGGGATCTGAGCATGACCCAGCCCTGCGGATAGCAAAGGTCACTGGGTTATTAACAACATCAGCTCCCAGCCTTTGGGGTGGAAAATGTATACATTTCCTCCATCGAGGAGAAAACACTGCATGATTAACATTCCTGAGATTAGTGTAAATGGTTTTTGTTTGTTTTTTAAGAAAAGACTCATAGCCTATGGGAGAATAAAAAGGAACAACAAAGCACAAGATGGAAAGTGGTTAAGGAACTGACCAATCCTGGCAAAGCACAGACAGGAAAAACAAAACCGAAACGGGCCAAGCAGAGTCAATTCAAACAAAGCCTCGAGGAATAAGATACAGGGACCACTTGTGGAAGGAGAGATACTGATGTACTTGAGCTACATAACAAGTTAAAGATATTTAAAAAGAAACCGCACAACCCATGCAGCTAGGAATTTGCCTCTTTCTCATATAAGGAAAGGTCTAGATGTTATATTAATCTCAGCATCTTTTATTGCGTGGAAGCCATGAAACAGGCAGGTTTTCATCTTAATGTACTTGATTTTGATGATGCACTTGAAGATTTATTTTTAATTTTGTACATGCAGGTTGGGCATGGGATTTGTGCATTTAAATGCAGTTCCCACAGAGGCCAGAGGAGGGTGCTGGATCCCCTGGAACTGGAGTTACAGGGGGTTGTGGGTCCCCTTGTTTGGGTGTCTGGCCCGAAACCTAGTCTTCCCCACCAGCATTCCAGGCTCTTAACCCTTGAGCCATCACTCCCACCTGGGTGATGCATTTGAACCAGGTTTATGCATACTTCCAGAAACCTCATCTCTCTTTGGCTCCTATGGCCGAAGTTTTTTTTTTTTTTTTTTTTTTTTTTTTTGTTTTGTTTCGTGTTTTTTTTGCATATTTCTTTCTTTCTTTCTTTCTTTCTTTCTTTTTTTCTTTCTTTCCTCTTCTGTGTTGTTCCCTTAATTTTCTCCCCTACACCCTATCTCTGTCCTAACTCCTGCTGTTTCTTCTTTCCTTCCTCTCCTCTCTCTGATACTGGGCCCCATGTTTGCAGACAACCTACCACTATCGTTGCCTCCATCCTGCTCCCTTTCCTGTGCTTTTTATTTTCAGACAGGGTCTCATCAAGCTACCCAGGCTGACCTTGAACTTGCAACCCTCTGCTTCAGCCTCTTTCCTCTGCCAAGACTGAGACCAAAGGGGGGGGGGGCGATCCTGTCCTCAGAGTGACTGCAGACTGCAATGCTCTCCACCGAACCTCACAGTGCACTGAGCTCCTGCCTTACATTCCTCTCTAGTGCTGGATTAAAGGCATGTCATCCCGAATGCTAGGATCAAAGGTGTGAGCTCTGTTTCTCTTTTAGACTTATTCACTCTCATGTAGCTCAGGGGGGCCTTGAACTCACAGAAATCCATCTGCCTCTGTCTCCTCAGTGCTGGGATTAAAGGTGTGTGCCACCACTGCTGGTCCTCTATGGTTAACTAGTGGCTTAGGTGTATGGCTAACTAGTGGCTTAGCCTTTAACTAGGTGTGTGGTTAACTAGAGACTCAGCTCTGCATTCTGATCTTCAGGCAAGCTTTATTTGTTAGATTACAAACAATGTATCGCTAGAACCGAGGACCTGGAAGATTCCTGGACAGTTTCTGGACTGCATTCCAGATCGCAAGGCTGAAGAAGCTGAACAGTGGTAACAAAGATGGATTTATTTACCAGTAAGACTCAAAGGCAGGCAAAAAACATCCATTTGAACCAAAAGGTTTATGAAAATATAGTTGATTGGGCCCTCAAACATACTTTCAGTCACCTCTCAATTACTTGCAGTAACCAATACAGTGCATGACAATATATTAAGGGAATTATCCCAAGGGAAAAAAAGTCTAGATGCCCCAGGCAGGCGCACAATTTTTTCCAAGTACTTTGAGTCTGAGGTTGATTGCATCTGCAGATTCAGAACCACACACAGGGAGGGCTGACAGTACAGCCTTACACACTTAAAGCACATTTACTACACACAGGGTTCTGAGCTGTGTTACGATAAACATGGGGATTTGGATCTTGATCACACTTGAGTGGATTTATCGTCTAAGCAGATTTATTTTCTAAGATAGGATACCTAAGTGTCCTTAGGTAGGTTCAGATAAAGCTGTGATCTTCTCCTTTACAAAGAAGGGAAAGCTCCATGGAGTAGGTGACACTTGACCGGGGCCTTGAAGATACCTAGGATCTAGAGATGAGGGACCACAGAATTTTCTCCTCTGTGTGGCACAAAGAGGGACATAAACTACTAGAGATCACACACACACACACACACACACACACACACACACACACACACACACACACACACACACACACACAGAGAGAGGTTTTACTACACTTTTTGTTTCGTTTCTGGCTCCAGAGTTAGCAGTCTGAAGTATGCAGCTGTCATCAGGCCAGGGAACGGTGGCGTCCCGCCCCCCACCCCAACCCTTGAAGTCTCAGCCTGAAACCCGCCTCTTCTCGGGACGGGTAGAACCGGCCCTGGCTTCCCCAGGGAGAGGCCAGAGAGGGCGTTTCAGCGCCGCGCTGTCGGCTGCGGTGGGCACTGACTCGGCGGAGGGCGCGGCTCTTTGTGCTCCATCTCCCACGGGCCCGGGCTCTTAGCCGCCCCGCTGCTCCGCCAGGGCCCTTCGAGCTCCAGCTTTAGACCGATGCTGCGGAGAGCAGCGCGGCAGCTGGAGCGCCCCGCCGGCCGCGGGTCCTAAATTCTGTCTCGTTGCTTCCCTCAGTGCACCTAACGCCGGCGAATGCCAACCGAAGGGTGCAAGCCCCTTCCTTCCCTCTCCACGCTGGGGAGTGGGTGGGGACTTCAGGGCGAGCTCCCTCCCGGGAGACGTTTGCGCATGCGTAGCCCCGCCCAAACCCCGCCCCTCCCGTCGCCCCGCCCTGCCATCCCGGGCTCCACCGCTAGGGTTGGCGGCTGCGGCTCCTGCCCGGCTGACGGCGCGGTGGCTTTGAGGGCGCCGCAGCCCTACCGAGTGGGGACAGCGCGAGGCCAGAGGGTGGGAAAGCGGCCGGCGGCGGAGGGCGGCGCCGGAGGAGGGCGGCGCGCGGTGACTCATCCCTCTGGACGATCAGACACGCTCGTCGAGCCCGCCCGCCCGCCCGCGCCGCCGCTCCTTTAACCGGGAGGCGCCCGCCCGCACCGCTCGCTCGCCCGCCCGCTCCGAGCTCCCGGCCGGGCCGCGGCACAGAAAGTTTTCCCAGGCTCAGGGCCTGCGGGCCGCGGAGCGGGCACGGCAGAGAGGCGGACGCCGTGCGGGCCCGCCGAGTGCATGGTGCCGGGTGCCCGGGCCGAGCGTCTGGAGGACCCGGGGCGGGGCCGGGCTGAGCCCAGCTCCTGAGCCTCTGTCCAGTCCGGCGGCGTCCCAAGCCGTCCTCCCTCGGCACTGCCGCGGGGGTCGCGCTCCAGCACCATGTCCCGGCTGCTGCCGCTGCTGGGGAGCCGGACGGTGCGCAGCCTGAGGCCGGGCCCTGCCGCCGCCGCGCCCCGCCCGCCGACCTGGTGCGGCTGCGGCCGGGGGCTGCTGGCGCTCGGGGTCCCCGGCGCTCCCCGGCTCCTGGGCACCCACCCCAAGAAGGAGCCCATGGAGGCGCTGAACACGGCGCAGGGCGCGCGCGACTTCATCTACAGTCTGCACTCCACCGAGAGGAGCTGCCTGCTCAAAGAGCTGCACCGCTTCGAGTCCATTGCCATCGCCCAAGGTAAGCGGGTGGGGCCGCCCGGGAAGCCCTCGCTCTTGGGCCCCTTGTCCCCTCCCCAGCCGCGGGCCCCGCGCCCGGGACGGCCGAAAGGGGAAACTTTCCACCTCTCAAGTGTCCCCAAGGCAGGTAGGGCACGCACCGATCGTGCCAGGCAGCTGGGGCCAAGCCTGGCTGGGGCCTCCCCAGCCGTGGAATGCAGGAGCTTCAGCCCAAGTGCCAGCTGACTCTCGGGATTGGGTTTTGGCTTGCCGGGTGCCTCCTCTCGCCTGCCCTCCGTTCCCTAAGCCTTTGGGGGGGGGTCTTCCTGAGCCCGTGCACCCATGCCCTTTCCCGTTCTAAGAAAGTGCTTCCAACTGGACAGGCAAGAGGAAACTTTCTTGAAGGTGTGTGGATGCCCCTCCCCCTGCGCCCCAAAAAGGGGTGTAGCTTCCCGTGGCAAGGATGCTCGAGGTTGTGTATTGTTACACCTGGCTGTGAAAGGGCCAAGGAAATCTTTTCTCGGGTAGTGGGAATAATGTGTCGAGCCAGCCTCTGAATATGTACTGGAAGCTTGGAGATTTAAACTGAACCTCAGTGTTTGCTTCCTTGGAGTTCAAAGGCATGAAGTCAGAGAGTTTTGGGGTGGTTGAGGTTAGGGAATCTGCGGTTTGAAAATGAAAAGCACACTTCTGCTTAAAAATAATCGGAATAGGATGAAGGAAAGCTATTTTTAAACAGACACGTTAAGATAGGATATTTTTAAGACAAGTGCGGAATGTGGTAGGTCAGAATTTGAGTGTAGGTGAAAAGGCTAAAAGTTCAGAAAAAAAGACGAAAGGATGAAAAGGCAAATGGATTCAGTCTTAACATATGCTTTTGCTACGTAAATTCTGTTATGTACAGAAAAACAGAGCTGCTATTTTATATTGCATTTGAATGTGTTGGAAAGTTTTTAAATAGTTGAAGTTGGTACTATATGGTACCATATAGTACTATATAAACATCCCATAGGTTCTAAAGTATGGAACACATTATTTTGGAGTGTGTCTTTCAAGCATCTAGAAAGTTTGTCATTGACCTATGTCTGAGAGGAACTTGAGCTCTACCTTCTATTAGCGTGGCTTATTACCTTTATTACTTAAGAAACTTTTTATTAGTTGTACCCTTTAACTAATTTTTTTTTTCAGTTTAGGGGACTGTGAACCAATATAAAGTAGTGGATAATTTGAAGCATTGCTTGCCCACAATGCATTTTACAGGAAAACCACATCAGTTAGCAAATCACAGTGTTACAGGAAATTATAACTGAATACTAGTATATTTTGTCCATGTGTTTTCCATGTGTGGGTTAAAAATGTGCTCTTTGAAAGACAATATAGATAGTTGTGTCTTAGAAGTTTCAAATTTTGTCACTCAGGAAAGACTGTAAAAATCCATTTTCTCTTTGCTAAAGCAAGAGCTTAGAAGTTCTACATTGTCAACATGTTGGGAGATTGGAGGTCCCTGTGAATATAATTTTATGGCGGTTATTGAAAAGCATGTTCCACAATACCAGGCTTGCTAAGCTTTATCTCCTAAGTTCCTAATTTTGTACATGCCAGCAGTGTATATGGTAGAGTGCCACATTTTTTAGTGAAGATAGTATTTTTAAACCTGAGATGGTTTTGGGTATCCTTGGAAAAGCACTTAAAAATTTAAGTCCATGGGATTCATTAGCATCAATAAAGCTTATTGATCTAAGTTGTTTGAGGAAGCCGCTGTTATGGAGTAAAGGGCAAATATATAGGAAACAACTTGGTGGTTTAATGGCCCCTGTTTATAAGCTAAAGGACCTGAAAGTTTGGTGAGTATTTTGTTGATGCTGTTGACTAAATCATTGCCTTTTGAGTTAAGTGGCACTTAGAGCTGCTGCATTAATTTATAGCATGCCTCGGAGCTCACTTACAGTTTTTATCACCAGTACATGTAGTTGTGGGGCTAACTAGACGTGCTTAGTAACTTAACTTGCTCCATCAGTTATGTAGGAGCTCACTGCGTAGGAAATGGGTGCAGCTTATGCATACTATTGCTGAAGTCAATTTTTTCCCCCAAATGAAAACCTCTCATGTTTTTCTTTAGTTACTTTTTTTCAGTGTTTCTTGTTAATTTTTAATTGTATTTTAATCATGTATTTTTGTGTTCGAGAGGACAATGTATATTGGTCTGGGAGATCAAACTCAGGCCTTTAGGCCTGGTGGCAAGTGCCTAGTGATCCATCTCACGCAGCTTCTTAATGTTTTAGAATACCAACTAACACGCTAAATATGTCAGTACCAACTGCCCTTTCTAATGAAATACAGTCACTGTGTAAGGGATGTTTCTTACTATAGAAAACCTGTGTGTTCTTGGAAAGGTGCTTAGATCATTCAAGGAAGCAGTCTGGCTTTGATGAAACATTATAGAAAGAGAAAAAAAAATCATCTTTGCTTTGAGATGGGTTGTGAGATCTGCTGAAGTTTGGTGCTGGGTTCTTATCTGTCTCATGTGTCTATCAGTAGGCATGTGGCACAATTTGTGACAAGATAACAGTCCAGTATCAGTTTACAATGAATGAGGCAGACTTTGCCGGATAGCTTATCTTAGTGAGTTGGCTTGTTTTGATTTTAAAATTACAAACTGATTTCCTTCCCAATTTGAAGAAAAAGTTCATGTTGTACTCCTACCTGAGCAACTTGCTTTCCCTTCCAGAAGCAGGCTGCATTCCACGGATAGTAAATTGGCTTTTTGTTATAAGCAGAACTGACAAGCTGACGTTATTACAGTTGCCTTTATCCTTAACCAATTTTTAAAGCAACATCTTCCTCATTTTTGCAACTAACATTTCTGTTTATAATTACTTTAAAAACCTCTAAAAGTACATTTTGCTTCTGATACAAGGTAGATGACATTGTATTAGTTGTTACCCGATGCTACAGGAAAATTCTACCAAAACACAGAAACATAGAACAAGCTTCCCACAGTTTCCAGTATTCTGGAATCCTGGAATCACTTATTTGGGTATTTTTTATTCATAGTCTTTTATGATATGGAAATCAAGCTTCTGGCTTTCTGAGGTCTTGGCTGGGGCTGGAGGGTGTATTCCCTGCAGGACTCATTCACAGGGCTATTGGCTGGCAGTGTCCTTTGTTATATGGATCTTTCTGTAGGGCTGATAGCTTTCAAGACAGAGTTCTTGGAGGGGAGGGGAGACAGAGGAGGAAGATGTGTGCTCAGAGAAAAAATGAAGTCTAGAAGCAGCACCTCTCCTTTGCTGTGATATCTTGTAGGTGGTTCCTATACAGGGTGTGGATATTGCATCGGAGATTGGGAACCACGGAGGTCATGGTGGAGGCTGACCGCCAAACTTACTGAGATTTAATGAACAGTTACTGTAGAGTTGCATAAGACTTTGCTGGCTTTGGGAGAGTATCATTTTTCTTAGGGAATATTATTGTTGAATGTATTCAAGAGTTTAAAAAAATAATTTTTTTCATATGGCAAATAAGATATACCAAGGTGACATTCGATACTCGATATCATGGACAAGTAGGTGGGTTTCCTAGGGTGAGGCTCACCCGTGGCACTCAGGGTGTGCTGACCCCTGTGGTTTCCCCAAACGGGGCAAACTTGACTGAAATTTATGAGATTATTCTGAATTATCTGTTGTCACAAGCTTTGTAAAGTGTCATATGCAATGAAGTTTATCTGGGGTGAATTGTGTTCTTGCTTTTCTCTAAAAAGATACTTCAGGCTGAATAGTGCAGTTTTTCTGTCAGAGCAGACTCATTAGCTTCCAACTTTTTTTCTTTGTATGAACAGTAACTGTGTATTTTTAAAGTTTGTTTTTACGACTTATGTACTTCATAATTACTCATATAATTCTAAACTGTACGTCTTCACTCCTCCCCTTTTGTGGCTGTTTATTTACAGTAGGCCACACCTCTCTGGAGTGTTGGCAAGTAGCCTAAAGGGTCTTTGACAAAATGAAAATCTGACAGCTCTTGGGCTGGACTTCTAGAGTCCTTACACATGACCACGTTTTGTCAAGGAGATGGCTCTACTAGAGGTCTTGTACCTTTAAAAACCTCCTCCCTAGTCTCCACAGCCTGTTCCTCAGGGTTACATAGAAGGAAGCAGTTGTACCCACACCCTAGCCTCTGGGATGGATTGGGATGGTCTCAGCTTTTGCTCAGAGAGAATTGCATTTCCTTTGTCAGTTGAGACCCAAAAATAAAGACATTTCAGCGCCTTAGTGAAAATAATAAAAGAGGAGGGATACAGGAGGGATGGCCCCAACTGGGCTCAGCAGGAGGGCAGGAGCTGCTAGCCCCAGGGCGCAATAAGGGTTTACTCACTGGGGTCTGGGCCCAGCTAGAACTGCTGATACAGGCAGTTACAGGTTTCCTCAGTAATGTGCCTGAGGCATTTCAGAATGACTGTAACATTTAGGTAATAGGCTAGAGCTCCTAGAGAAAGAAAGTTCTAAGAGGGATTAGAGAAGCTATGGAACTTTGTATCAATGTTCAATTGCTGCTGTAACAAGTTAGCATCCATTATAGAACTTTGTATCAATGTTCAATTGCCACTGTAACAAGTTAGCATCCATTATAGAACTTTGTATCAATGTTCAATTGCCGCTGTAACAAGTTAGCATCCATTATAGAACTTTGTATCAATGTTCAATTGCTGCTGTAACAAGTTAGCATCTATTCTGTGCTTACAACACAGTGTTAGTGGTGTAGAGGTTTGGAAACTCCGGGTCCAAAGTGAGTCTTGAAGGTCAGCAAGGCCCAGTCCTTCTGGACTCTCGGGAGAATCTGTTAACTTTCTTCTTCCAGCTTTTAGCATTCCTTGGCTCTTGGCCCCATTACTGCTTTAGCTGATTTCCCCCACCCCTTCTCTTTGTAAGGACTCTTGTGACTACATTTAGTTTTCAATTAGCAATTATTATGCCCTGGATAAACATCATTGCATGTGCCACTTTACAAAGCATGTGACAACAT